TTTGTTGCCTATATTCTGGATTGGTATTGATTGCATTAGTTTTATTTTAGTATTTGTTATTAGTTTTAAGCATTAGTTGCTTAGTTTTTGGTACCATCTCTTAGTTTAGTATTCATGATCACAACTTTGTTTTATAATCTCATTTTATTTCATTTTTGTCTTGTGTTGATACAATACTCATAAGTATTGACATTAGGAAATCTTTAGAATAATTATAATTCCCTTACCTTTATAAATAATTCAGTCTTTATCCTTAAAACTTATTATAAACTATATTCATGGTAAAATCTATCTTCCAGAGTATAATTTGTAATAATAGAACTATTTTATATTCTATTATGATTGAAATTTATTTTTATAAATAATATATTACTTCATATTATATACTAAAACTTTATTATCTATTTTGAATTATATATTTCTTTATAATTTTAAGTTATATCTTTCTTTTATTTATTATTACTATCTTTTAATTTGATTTTGTATTATATTAATATCATCTAGTAAGTGATAGATTAATAAAAATATTTGATCTAATATTTTATTTTTTTTATTTTTATTTTTTTTATTAATAATAGATATTTTAAATCAATAGATAATTAAGTATCTCTTCTATAGATCAAAAAGAAGGATTTATATTTGGTAGTATTATTTTAAAGTATTTTATATATAAATAATATTGATAATATATATATATCTTATTATTTATTTAATGTAATATAATATTTTTGAAGTATTTCACATAAAATTCTATTAAATTATTTTACTATTCTATTAGTCTGTGAGTAATATAGTGATAAAAACTTATATTTAGTTCTAAATCAAGTAATAAGTTCTTTAATTACTTGAGTTATGAATTCAATTTCTTGATCAGATTATAATTTTTTTAAATATTTATATTTACAAACTATTTCTTTAAAATAAATTTGGTAATTATATTAGCTTTTTTATTTAGAATTATTTTTACTTTAGACTATTTAGTAAGTGAATCTATTACTATAGTAATATATTAATTTCTTAATTACTTTGCAAGAGTTAATAAGATTGATTATAATTCTATCAAAAGATTATCCAACTTTAATAGGATATAGAGATTATTTTGTAGTTTATCTATCAGTTCTTTGATAAGTTTTACAAAATCTAATAAAGTTCTTTATATCTATTTTTATTCCATTCTACTAGTATCTAATAACTATTTATTAATAAGTTCCATTAAATCCAAAGTATCTAGTAAGTAAATCTGAATATATTCTAGTTATTACTACTTTTTTTTTAGTACTTAAAGTAATATAATAGATTTTTTTTATTCTTTTTATAAAGTATTTTATTAATTATCAAAAAGTATTTTTAATTTTTTATATTATATTATTATAAAATATGATAAAAAAAACAAAAAGTTATATTCTGTATTTTATCATTAAAAATAGAACTTTATTAAAAATATAAATTTTTTTCTGAGTATAACTATTATCAAGTTAACTTTTATTTTGATTTATTATTATTATACTTTGAATTTTTTATTTGAATTTAATAAAATTTCAAGATATTTAATATAATTATTTGATATAATAATTTTTATTTCTGAATTTGATTATTAAAATATAATCAAATTTTAAATTTTATTAACTTATATTGCTAATTATTAACCATCTAATTTTCATTCACATATAATTATTATCTAATATAATTCTATAAAAAAATTAAATTGATAGTAGAGTAGAAAGAGCTAAGAAAAACTTTTTTTTTATTATAAAAATAAAAATCATAATAACAAAAAAATTTACAAAACTTATTTTATATAATTTGTTTATTTTTTTAAACTTTTCTAAAAAAATAATGTAACTTACATTAAAAAATATGCTCAAGAAATTATATTACTTGACAAAGATTATAATATCCATGAAATTGTCAATATTTCTCACTTTATTATACTAAGACTTAAAAAAAGCCAAGAAAACTAATAGTATCCAAAGCAAGACTCAAACTGATCATCTTGATAAAGTGAAAAAAGTCATATTTATCAGATATAAATCATCAAAAATGACTTGACTTTACAAATAAATAATATAATTTAATAAGTCAAATTTCAGATATTTTAAAGCTAATAGATATTAATATTATTGAAAATATTAAATAATCTATTAAAAAGCTTATATATTTGAATTTATAATAAAATTTGATGATATTAATATAATAATATGAGAAAGTTTTGATATTTAAAATATTCATTAACTTTGTAAAATTATTAGAATAATAATAATGAATATTATTGATAAATTCTTTAATTATTAAACTTTGATTTGCATTAAAGATACATTATCAGATGTGAAAAGCTTTTATTACTTATAAAATTTGACATATATTTATTATAAAAAAAAGAATTCTTCTTGGATAAATTAATTATATATAAAGCCACTTTTGATATAACGTAGTAGTTGGATCTATAATGTAAAATTTCAAAAACTTCATTATACATTATGTCAAATGGAATTATTATATGATTTATAATAAATTGTTCCTGAACTCAAGTTCATTATATCGCGATTTTAATTAGACTTTGTTATATCGAAGGGTCGTTATATCAAGCGTATCTTTGTATATATAAGATTTATTGGTCGCGTGGCGCAGTATTTGCTGGTTTAAGAATTCCTTTTAATTACAGGCTTATTTAAACTATTTGGGGGTTAAATCATTAATTAAAAATATTCATGTAGATCACTTAATTTCTTATAGAATGGCAACGTTAATATATTTTTTTTAGACATTCTCTAGGTTATTAGCTTTAAAATGAGTACAGGAACCAGGCACATTTAGAGAAACTACGTAAAACTTTTCGTGTTGCGTTTCTTATGTGACCTACTGTATACGGTATGCTACTAAACTTTCACGATCAATAATAAGAATACCATATAAAGAAGAAAACCGTAAAAATCAAGGTAATTTACCAGTAAAAAGGGAGCGATCACATAGATTTATAAGTCTCTTTGATAATGCACATCACGATAATATTTGTAAATTCGAGTCCCAGGCCCAAATTCCAATACAATTTAAAATTAGCACATAATAAGTCCAAAAAAAGCAAGCTTAATTTTGGAAGGTCGGTTTTTTATTGTTGTGTAAATATTTGTATTATGTGTTATGATTCATCAGTTTATAAACGAACCACATTGTTATTGACAATCGGCATTGATCGACATCAACATCAATTAATCATCTAATATCTAAAAAGTACTTTACTTCAGAATACAATAATAAAAAATGTCGATGGTAGCAACGAGAGAAAGGCGTGCCAACGCCGGAAATCGGTATGTATTTCATACGCTTCTATTTATATAGTTGTACTGTCTTTTTTTGTTCTCTTAAGAAAACCTATGTTGTTTATATTCGCCAGGGTAGTTTGATTACTAACGAATATAAATTCGTTAATAGATAAAAACAATAAGTTTTTAGAATTGACTTTAATATAAATCATTGATATTATATAGGATGTATGAATTGTTGCAACGTGAACTGGAGTTGGATGAAATGTTTATGGAGGTGGAAAATGATGAAGAATTTGATGCAAATATAGGTATATCCCTGATTCTCTTGCTTTTGATCTATGGATTGAATGTGCTTTTAAATTGTAATTCAATGCATATTTCCATTGACATATAATAGAGGAGGATGATGTCTTTGATTCAGATTTCGATCAAAGTAGTGGAGCTGAAGACGAGGCTAATAATGATGATGCCGAACAACAAATTCTTATGGAAGAAAAGAAAGAAAAAAAAGTATGATAAATAAATATATATATATATATTCGGGATGCTATGTTCTTTTCATATGTCATCATTGTTAAAAAAAATTCCGAAAACCAATTTTTTTTGATAGGCGGCAAAAAAGAAAATGTTGGCACCGTTGGGCCCCGTATTACGAAACCGAAAACGTCTTGAGGAGAAATCAACAGCAACAGTTTCCGCCGAAAAAATTGCGTCAATGCCTGGAGCTGACGAATATATGGTTCGAAAACCTGCCCGAATAAAAAAGCCTGCTACTCCAATAGGTGAATACTAATATAATGTATGAGAAAGTTATTTTTTCATAGATTGATACTTTTCGTTTTATTTATCAGCGATTCCCGTTCTAAACGGTATCCGCTCTTCTTCACGGCGACAAACGGTGGAGAGCAAAAAAATACTGCAAAAGAAATTAAAGGAGTATGAAAAACGAAGGGCATGTGATCAAATGGGCAAAAATTTCAATGTTTGTTAATAAGAACATCGAATAATACTAAGCTTATCATATGAATAGGCTCAACTACCAAAACGTGAAAAACCCGTTGAAAGACCAAAAACTCAAGAAGAATTACTTGAGGAAGCTAAAATTACTGAGGAGGAAAATTTACGTTCCTTACGAGAGTTCCAATTACGAGAAGCTGAAAAGATTGAAATGGCAAGACCATTCAGAAAAAACAAGATAGAGGGACCTTTCATTCGTGACATTTCATATATTGAGGGCGATGACAATCGATATCGACAAAAGAAACTTATAATGGAAGTGTCAAGTGGTGAGGATGGCAAAAATGTATCACGTGAATTAACGAATGTTCAATGGTGGAATGGTGCAGATGGATTTGGTGACGAAGAAGCAGATAAAAGGCAGGCTCGAAAACTAATAATATTTGAGGGATTTTCGAATAGGGAGTGTTCAGAAATATTTGAAGAATGGCGGCAGAAACCTCAAAGTAAAGTTTTCTTTAAAATTATATGTATTTTTGTAATTTAATTGCGCTTTATTGAAGCATTTTATTATAGAGGTAAAGAAGTGTATTTGCCCATTTACTGGTCTCACCGCAAAATATAAAGATCCTGAAACTGGAATTCCTTACGCCACAGTTGACGCTTATAAAAAGCTTCAACGGATATTGAGTCATGAATTTATATGGTCACCAATCTTAAATGCATACGTTCACGCAGCAGAACAGCGACCTGCAGCAGGAACGCCGGAAGGATTTGCAGCTTTCTCAGTCCCGCAAGAAAAACCAAGACGCGAAAGAAGAACTAATAATAAACATGTATATTAAAATTTATACACACACAAAAAAGCCTAGTTTTAAAAATCCATCAGTGACTTTTTTTAGTAATTAAAAAAATAAATTAATAGTTTATAGTTTGCTTTATAAATTTCGAGCAATATCAATCTACGTGAAATTTTTAATTAAATAAAAAGAGCCAAAAATCCGGTAACTTTGACGCGATATCTTAACGTCTAACTATCCAATTTGGACAAAAAATATGACTATTCGATTAGATGAATCGAATTTGGACGGTTGGACGTCAAGGAGAGTCAAGAAGTGATCAAGAAAATAATTAAGTTTTGGTAGAAGTAGTTAGTTATTGAGTTAAGAGTAATTAGCTAGTAATTTCTTATAATAAATACACATTTTTATATTTTATCGTTATCCGGATTTTTAATAATAAATATATATATATCTATTTATCACATGATTCACGTGGCTATCTAAAAAATTAAAAAATTATAAATTTGACGAACATGTCGAACGGGACCTATGTCACCGCCGCTGAAGTTATTACTTATTTCCGGGATACTCGAACTTACGAGGAGGTTATTATCACGAACACTGTCAAGCATCGCTTGTTGAAAATTAGTATGATCAGAATTACAACAAGAATTCAAACGAGATGAGGCCATTGACTCGACAATATTCCTCAACGGTGGACAAGCTCAAAATCGAGAGCAGAGTTCAGGATTTGTTTATGTAATAATGACTTTAAAGAAAAGACACTGTAAGAGTCAAAGATAAAGTTGAAAAGAACTTTGAAAAGAGAGTTAAATAGTACGTGAAATTGTTGAAAAGAGAAACGATTGAAGCCAGCCGTTCAGGCGGGAAACATTGTCATGCGGGAAAGAACTTAGCAGCGGCTGCCACCTTTTATCAAGACGCAACTTTGACAATATACATCAAAGAAGAGAAGGCGAATAAATATTAATAGCAATAAAAATTATGTTAAATCGTAAAAATTTACGGAATCTTAGTTGTAATAGGATTTCTATTAATGCTGAAAACGTGTATATTTGTATTGGTGCTAATGCTGGTGAATAAAGACAATAATGATTATTTCTCATCGCCCAATTATATTGCACGCATCTTTAAGAAAAAAGGGCCGATTCGCCTTTCATTGATGTAATGAATGATGATGTTTCAGGGAGATTACAAAATGAAGATTCTTATATAATTGAAGAGTTTTGCCTGAATTAAGAACCATCCGACGAAGAACTAATTTCTGAGATGTATATATAAGTTGATAATTATAATGAAGGAGGAAGACAACAGGAACCTTATTCATCTTCGTTTTCAATTACAAGGATATCTTCAAGGAATTGCATAAACTTTGTAACATTTTCCAATCCCATCAAAAGCATGCAACTTTGTCTAAATGTTCAACAATAAAATAATGATTATTATATTATACAAACAAGTCTATGATCGATCGGCAAGATATCAAGAAAGGCGCAGCAATGACATTAATAATGTTCAAAAAGATGTAAATAGTGACACATTAATGATACCACAAGTAAAATCTAATGAACGATTTCAGAATACAGTAAGATATCGACGTTAATTTATATAACACCGTAAAGACCGTTATAAACGATATCTGAAAGTGAAGTGAAGAATGTCTGCGGAATGAAATCAAATCCGATATTAATGAATTGAAAAATTAAAAAGAATGAATAACAGATTGATACTATCAAGGGCGAATAAATGAGAATACGAAAAACCTGAGAAAGATATTTTGAAACGAACTTGAATATGAGCTCAGGAATATTCAAACAAATCTGATTCTGTAATGCCAAGTTGGAGGGGAAGTAAAGAGGTGTCAGATCCGAGTCTCGTAAAATTATTGAAGTAAAGATTGGACCCGTTTACCCAACAATCCGGGAACCGATATTTTACTGTGATCACAGAGTAAAATTATGCATCCGGTTTTATATATCCCCTTGCCACGATAACCCAAATTAAATAGTTATCACATTCAAATATATAAATTCGTTTACGATATTTGAAACATCCAGAGCAATTACAATGATGAGCATTTAATTTCATTGCGTTTATATCGATATATATAGCGATAATAAAACAAACGTCGGGCTAGCTCCATTATCCCATCCACTCAAGCTCAGCAGAGAGAGTTTACAAACATGATCACAGTACAAAGCAGTTCTATTAAAGGGAATGTAACGAAATTAATAAAGATCAATTATTCGAATGGACTCCTTTTGAAAGTTGAATATCTTGCAAAAAGAGGTTTTGGAACAATTTATAAAGCAACCTGGACGAATTTACAAATTGGATCATAAAGAAAATAAATTTTAACAAGAAACTGAAGTTGCGTTGAAAACATTACAATAATTCAAAACAAATTATAAGCGAGGAAGAATGTAAGTGAAAGTTCCTTTATTTTTTCTTATACAATCAAACTTTTTAAAAATAAATTCAGACTGCTCTTAAATGCAATAATAATAATTATAATACTTTTGATTTCGCTTAAGATATTATTGAATAACTATACGAATGTGAATACTCAATACCGACCGATACATAGTACATGTTTGTTGTTGAGTTATGCTTGCTTGACTTTGAGAATCATGATTCTCGCGAAAGATGCGAGTTTGTTCGTGATGTCGCCAATTCTTGTAGTTTATTAGGCGCGAATCTTTAGAACTCTATTTAATCAACTTATAGAAGAGTAAACAAGAGACTTGTAGCCAAAAGGAAAAATATTGAGGTGAAGAAGCAAAAGCAAGTTGCAGGTACTTCATTTATTTTCTTTTCCATTTAACATGATAAAACTCTTATCCATTTCCCGAATACAGACAACTTTGCACATAATGATCGTCTTGGTGACGACGGAACAGATCCAACAATATGCCGAGTCAACCACCGCCAGCATTGCAGAGATTCCTTAATACTGACAACGAACATGCAGCAAAACGTATCCGAACTCATAATAAGGTGATAACAGTCAATTTGAAAAAGAAAAATTCTACCATTCAACTTTTGAAGAAATGCGTCAAGCATTACAATCGTGAATGGATCCAAATGACCATGCGAACACTTTGTAATCTGTGCGAGAATTTAGATACCCCTTTAATAAGGACCCAATACGAAGATTGATTCACGGTACTTTTTTGCATTGAATTTCTGCATCAGAGACGCACAACTGGGCACTGACGTTAAGAGGTTTTATCCGTTTCCTGTTTATATGAACAATTAATTATCATCATTTCACTTATTTATGGAACTGACGCACATGATGAAAAAAAAAACGATGAAAAAAAGGGTCTTATGGGATATTGGATTATGATGAGAATACGTGCATTTTCGAATTTTTGAATTACACAAATCTTCAAATTGAATTGTTTTGATGATTTTAATCTTTTTGTTACTTTAAAGGTTCATGAGATCTATTTTCCAAGGATAGAGAATAATTTGGTCGAAAAATGATAAATTGGTTTCCTATAACAAGTGTTTAAAGAAGGTAAACTTTTGATTGTATATTTTCTATTTTTATTATAATAAATTAAGGGGAAACTAAAGTTCAACTTCAAGTTGATTAATAAAACGTATAATTTGTGAGGAAAATAAATAAATAAATAAAAATAAATTTCGTTATGTTACAATGCAACGTCGATGAGTATTATACAAATCATGTATGAATTTTAAGTATTAATGACCAATTTTTTCCTAATATAAATTAAATTGTTTTTTTGTCATTAGTTGTTGTATGTTCTTTATATATTGGCGATAATAACTTCAAAAAAGGTGTAGAAAAAATTAAGCATTAGTTTCGATGTGTTTTTTTTTTAAAAATAAAAACAATGATCTATAAGTTTTTTGTTATTTCTACGAGTTTTTATAATTGCCTAAATTAACATTAATTATTATTGATTTCCACAATTGGAAGGTTTTGTTGTAGTTTTTGTGATAGTTGTTCTTGTAATTGTTGTTGAAATTGATTGGCCGTTGCTTGGAGTGAATGAGATTGAATGGGGTTTGATGTTGATTCAGTTTCTTCCGCGTTTTTTGGTCGCCTTCTCACCAATAATACATCCTTTAATTCACGTACCATACGTTCACTATCTGCACGTGCGGCTTTAATTTTGGCCTATATATTTTGTTATAGGACCTCGAATAAGCTTAGGCGTGAAGTTTATGCTTACGCCCAAAGGATGAGATATTTATAGCTCGAACCGAATTTAATCATGAACTTGCTATAAATATACCCCTCCCTTCTGCGCCGACCGCAAAGTATGCTCGTACCTCCTCGGCTTTTTTTGCCCTTTGAATGACGATTCTTTCTTCTCTTGTCAATTTCTGAGTTTATTAAGAAAGTAATACGACGACTTATTAATAAAGAACTCAAATAATCCGTGTTAACAATGACAATAATAACACCATACCTGTTTTGCCACTTCAGGTTCTGCTATCGCCTCAAAGTATTGCTCCGGTACATCCAGAGGTTCGTCAAGCTGTGTCCAATCAATTAAAGTTCTTTCAGAACTATTCTCATCATTCTCTGTGCTTTCTTGATCCTGACTTGACATATCAACTTCAAGTGAACGTCTATTTACTGTTCGCAAAAAAAAAAGATAAATAAAAAATCTAATTAAACGATAATCCACATTATGAGAAATATGAAATTAAAAATCAACGAACCAGGAGTATCAGGATCTTCGGGCTCTTGAGACAATTTTATAAGAGCTTGTTTTCCCTCTTCCCACTCTTGCACCATATAAGAGAAATCCTGAGCTATCGAATTGTATTGATTCATCAAGAGTTCAGATTCCTTCGGATCAACAAAGCCTATTAAAAAATTATATTTTAGATAAAGTTTTTCGTGATTAATTCATTTAAGTATAATAAAATCGTAAAACCTTCAGCTTCATAATATTTGCGAGCATCTTCATTACAAAGATATAATTTGGCTTGAATACCACGAACATATTGTTCCATGGATGCCAGTTTATGAAGATATGCACGCAAACGTTTGTCTGGTGCAAAAGGAGTAAGTCGAGAAAGTATATCTTGGTTTGGTGGTGGTAGTGCATCCACTAAAAGTGATAATTACCAAAAGGAAAAATATACAAAAATTGGATTTGCTATATTATATTATTATTATTTAAGACACGCCCACCATCACTATAATAATAATGAGAATATCAAATACTTACGGGACTCATTTGTTGATGATGCAATAACTGTATCTAAATAATGTCCAGTAATAGAGCCTAATTCATTGATATGTTCATTTACAATTGTCCAATGTTGCTCATAATCTCGTCGATTAGAATCTCTGCCAGAAGTCATGACATCCAGCGCCAGTAGATGACACAAACATTCCCTTCTTTTTGAGTGCATTTTTTGGAAACACAGACGCAAATTTTCTAGTGAGGTCGGATCTTCGACGTCATCCATATTCCAATCATCTTCTTTTACGCTCGAGGGAATGTTGTACATATTATACATAATATTCAGGCTAGCCTGAGAAATTTCTGGTTGAATTGTCATGATTGCACGTCGATATCCCATAAAAGCTTCTCGAAGGACTGCATGTATGGTATCACGAAGTGCAATGCATCGTCGAGTTTTAGACGACTGTTCAATACGAGTAATCGGAGAAAGTGGCATTGATCTAATAAGAGAGAATCAAATGATGGTCACGGAAAATTATCTTCTTTCATTAGAATGACTTTAAAGAAATGTTGTGTTGACTATATATATATATATGAAAAGGATACAATCTGTAACCTCGAGATACAAGCTCGATTTCCTGAATCATTATTAATGCTTTATTGACTTTGAGATCAAATGTTTGACAATTATATACAAGCACTTGCACCAAGTGCAATGCTGAATCATGCAAAGTTTTCATAGCCTTTCGTCGCTATTTTTTTTTTAAAAAAAAGGTTAAAAGAAAAGTTCAACCTAATACAAAAAGTTTTAATCTCTCTCTTACCAGATGTCTATATAGCCAGAAGGAGCCAACTGCCGATATTATGAAAGCTATGGACAATCGCACAAATCTTCCGGTTACGTCCTTTGAATCGGTTTGTAATACCCATGCGAGAAATACGCTAATCACGGTTACAAGTGAACTCAGTAAAATCTCAAAATTTCGTCTTGTTAGACCGCCAAAGTATTGTCCAGCTTCCGTGATATCAGTTAAGCTTGGTCTTCGACTATCATAAAAATGTATTGAGGGCGCTTCATTTAAAAGGTGTGAGGTGCAAAGAATGTATTTAAAGCGTTCTTCAAATTGATTCTCTTCTTGAAGAGGAAGAGCGGTTGATAATTGTTCCTGTGTCAAATCAAATGAAATAATTTAAGTTTGTCGCTCAGCAAGAGAATGGTATCGACTGACTAGTCATCGAAAATAATACCTTTAAATAGCCTATTGTTTCGTATAGAGTTGAAAGTAATTTTCCTCGAAAAGTAGCTTTATGTTTCTCTTCTGTTGTGTGCTCTGATTCAAAATTTGGTTCTGGTTGTCTAACAACTTCTTCTTCGCTGCCAATTTCTAAATATAAGAAAAATTCAACCGTCAACTTTATTTTTCATGATAAAACATTTAGAGATAAGGAAAGTAAACTCTAACCAGCTAAATATTGAGCGAAAGGAGTATCTTCGTATATTACATTCTCGGCCATCGTAGAGATTTAAGATCGCGAGAAATGGGGTGTGGTTTATTAATGTTTGGTAGGTGATTTGTATTATGAATATTGTTAGGAGAAATATTATAAGTTATGTGTGATATATATAATTACTTAAAGGAAGGGAGAAATAGGTAGTTTTTTAAAAGAAGTTCGGATGAGTATTACGTGCGTGGGCATCACCGTGCAATATAATGATCACCGTGTAATATAATGATCACCGTGTAATATAATGATATTTACACAAACGCATTTTGAATATGACAAATAACATATGACAAATATAGCATGCAGATTATTATCACCGAAATATGGATGCATATGATACATTAACGCGTTGGATGTGCACTTGCAAGTTTCAGCCGCATTCGATAATAAGGGCTGCAAATTTTCTCGCCGCTTTTGATATTGAAATAATGCAAGATGTGTCTTGATGTATATGATTTCCGCGACCAATAACGAAAATAATTAACAACGTAATGAATGTTATATACAAGACAAAACGTTTTTATTATACAAAATAAAATAATTGACATCCGTTTTTATTATACAAAATAATTTTAAATCAAATACAAGATTTTTGGTAAACTATTTATGATAAAAATTGCCAAAAAACCAAGAATTAAAATAATTTTCTCCCACTCATTCAGCCGTAATACCCATTTGCCCGCAATTTGCACATACTAATTTTGATTTTTGGGATGATTTACCCTCTGTTAATGTTTTAGCGAAAAATGCTTTAAAATCTGTAGATCCGCATCCATCACAATGCATTTCCTCGTTACCGCTAGGAGCTTCATTAATAGATGCATCAATGCTCAATGCGCTGGATGTACTAATTGAATATAAGCTTGAGGCGTCACTCAATCGACGCTGCCTATTACCTTTGCTTGTACGTGACAGAAAACTTCCTAACGAGGAATTCCATGAACGCGTGCTACGCATCGAAATAGAATCCAGATCTTTGTTAGGATAATATGATGAATCATTACGAAATATTTTTATGCTGCCAGTGTGATCGGCGCAAACTATAATATGTCCTTCTGGGTAGGTTTGACTGGTTGGAGGAATGGCATTTCCATTAGAGTCAACATTCAAGGTGCGAGCGAAAATCGGATCACCAGTCGTTGCAATCAATTGCTTTGTACGCGTCGGTGCAAAGATAGCTACCGTTACTATATGTGAATGCGCTATTAAAGAAATCGACAAACAGAAATTTAAGTATAAAATATAATAAAAATAGTGCTTAAAATATTAAATTTAACTAACCTTCAAATGCCTCAAAACCACATTTGTCCTTCTTAAGCCATTTTCCTCCTCCGCTAGCTCCATTTATTGAAGTTAGATTCGATTGATCAGTATTCCATATGTACACATGACGATCTTCTGACCCACAAATTATGTAGCGACCATCATCGCTGGTTTCAGACGTGAGAATGTATTAAAATGACAATTTATTTTTTTTATCAATTAATTTTTAATCTATAAGCTCATTACCTAAAAGTAGCGCGAATTTGGCCACAAGTGTTCTCTAAGCCTTTATATTTACATTCCATGGATTTGTCACGCATGTTATACAACCGTATACGTGAATCATTGGAACTAATAAGTAACTATGAAACATATTAACTTGGTATCCATATTAATATATAAATGAATAACGAATTTTATTCTCTATATCTCAAACCTTATCTTGACCAGGAGGTGTTCCTGGTACCGCCTCAATCCCTGTAATTTTTTCTCCTTTTGAATTTCGTCCACGAGAACTACGCACATGTATTTGCGTATTATACTTAAGTCCATCTGTTTCATAGAATAAACATAAACCTCTGAAGCTTCCAGCAACTGCTATTTTTCCATCAGCTGTGAAACCAACAGCGGTGACTAATTGCGAGTCGGCAAGTTCATTCCAGTGTGCAACCCGTTTTTCTGGAATATTCCATAAACGTAATTTACAATCCAATGAGCCAGATAAAAAGAATCGATCATCCTATGCATGACAAGATAAATGCTTAGTGTTGTCGAATTATTCTTATGGTGAGAAATAAATAAATCCAACCTTTGGATGAAAAGCAATCGCTGTAACAATATCGGTGTGCTGAAAGCAGCATAAACATTCTTTTCGTGTAATGTGCCATAATCTATTATTATTACAATTTTATATTAGCTTATTATTATCTTTAATAAATACCATTTTTAATATTTCCTCAATTTGAATTACCTAACTGTTTTATCCATTGAAGAAGATAATAAGAAATTATTCTGTGATAATAACAAATTAAAATATTCATTAATGCAATTAGCAATATAGTAATCAAATTCTATCAATTCTCTTTTGAATTATTTACCTTACTCCAACTCAAATCCAATATATCGGCATCATGTCCGACATATTCATACAGGGGCTTCTCCCGAAATACGGGTGCACCCAATTTCGAACCGCTTTGACCTTCATAAACACTCGTTCCGGACCCCTCCAGAAAATGTTCTCTCTCTTCATCGCTTGAAATAACCGCCCAGACACGAACAATCTTGTCTTTTCCCCCAGTCGCCAAAAATTTACCATCCTTACTAAACTTCATCGTCCATATTGCTCCGCCATCTTCTCCGGGTTGGTCGAATCGCGGAGTTCTTGGTGACGACGAACTGAAAAGTTCTTGCGCAAGAAATAGACGATTAAATTCTTTTACATCCTTGTTTCGTGTTCTCACCTAAATAAATATAGTTCAAGTTTTAATTAAAGTAAAAAATAATTGACAAGTCATATTGTCTTTAATTACTTTTATATAGCGTGGTTGTGTTTGCTCATAGTCGTTCTGTGATTTAAATACAGGTGCAGTATTGCCGGTTACCGCATCTTCATCTCCTTCCTCTTCTTCATCAATATTATCCTGGCGTGTAGTTCGCTTTTTAAGGCGAGTTAAAAACGATTTGCGCCTGTTTTTTTTTGGGTAGGTCGTTGAGGTTAGGAAATTAATAATATTCAAGCAAATTCAAACTTAATTGAAATATTACCTATTCCCTTTTCCCTTTATCTTATGTTGCTCTCCATCACTATAGCATTCAATTTCATTGTCCTTTTGGAGATTCGTCTCTACCAAACTATCCCAATTCCCACTCCCCTGTAGTGTCGCGTCATCATCGATAGAACTATTTGTTTCGCTTTCGGTAGTTCTTTTCAATATAAGAGAGGTTAAGGGATCAGTGTTGCTATTATTTGATTTCTTTAACTCCTCTTCAATATCGGTGACTGGAATGCTCTTTCCCGTATCTAGATCTTTAATGTAAACGGTCATCTCAGACTCATCACCAGGAAAGGGATGTTGTTCATTGTGATTATGATTTGGACCTGTTCATCGCCATTGATAAGAGTCAATGAGTTTTCTTATTCCTCAAATTTTACTCAATAATTTGAATTGCTTACTTCGTGTAACTGGAGAGAAATTTTTTTTTTCTATTGATTGGGAATTTATAAAAACTTCTCGTTCTTCTGGTGCTGGCTCCGGCTCCGCTTCGTTCGGTAATAACACTGAGGTACTATCTCCATCTTCTAATGAAGTATCGGTAACCGAAATCTCGGGGATAACTGGTATTTGAGTTTCTGTTTGCTTATTTATCGTTTTTTTACGTTCTAATAAGAAATTATTGTCACGGTTTTTTGAAGATATTACCGCTGAGGAATAACGAAATGATATTGGTCGTCCATTAGAGTCATAAAAGTTATCTTCAGCATCCACAAAAGTGTCACTGTCGCTGCTATCATTATTATCATTGAAAGACATTATCTCCATTATCTCTTTATTCGAGTTTAATTAACGTAAAAATAGAAATAAAATTGCAGCTAATAGGACCGAGAATGTGAATTTTATATTACTCGAAATACTGCGATTTTTTTACTTAATTTATTCAAAATCCTCCCAAGTACAGAACTTCATACTTGTAGAACGTTGATAATTTAAAGTGGCGTTCTAAATCCAAATTTGTTTAGAAATGATTCACAGAATTTATTAGCATGTATAGAATGAACCTTTGAACTCTTTATTAATCTATTTATGAATTTATCAATTAAAATTCGTGATTAACTTGAAAAATAATTGCATAGTTACAGAAATGAAATGAAATTATATAACGCGCGTATCTTAGTAAAAAAAAATTTATTCTTTTAAGCCATTTTATAAAAGGATTTAACATCATTGAGTGTGACGAATCGCATTATTTGTGCCATTGGTCCAATGTAATGGGTTAAATTTAGCCTCGATGAATTGAATTTAAGTTATCCGTCATCGGCGTTGTGCCATTATTATGTTGGACTGGCATTTGTATACCTTGTGTATTTTGTGGATCAACAGGTCTTATGGATGGATAAGATAATTGCGATCGCGGCCTATAAGGACCTGGTGATCGCGGTGTATAAGTTCTCGGAGGTGCGGATTGGGAAGTGGTTCGTGATGACGTCGTTGAAAGGTTTATCTGATTGCCATTATTTCGACTATTCAACATCGGTAAAAAAAATGTATTGCTATTATTCACGTCGCGAAGAATTTGTTGACAATTGATTATGGTAGAGGTGTCTGGCATCGATGATGATGACGATGATGATGATGATGATGGTGATGATGATGATGATAAACCATTAGCGGGAGTTATTACATTAATTACATTAGGTGAATTTATTTGATTATTCATCAAGTTTTGTAGTGCAAGCGCTTGCATTTCTGTTTCCATCAATTTCTGCATCTGTACAGCAGGCTGGGTTGGAATTATTTGCTGTGTACTCACAAAAACTTGAGATTCCATAGATTTCCGTGACTGCAATTGTAAAAGTCTGGATAATTGTATTTGAGATACTGACTGTTGAAAATATGAATTTCCAGACGTTTGTGGCTGTAAAATCCCAAGCATTTGCGATTGCAATTGTATTGATTCAGACATCCGAATTGGTGGTATTGGTTGCTGTTGTTGATGAGACATCGCAGGCATTTGCGATTGCAAAATCGATTGTTGTGGGTGACGAACATCAGACGTTTGAGTTTGCTGTATCGACCGTTGTGACTGAGAGATCGGCAAATTTTGCACTGGCTCTTGTGATTGTTGCGTTTGCGAAACTTTGGATGACTGCATAGAGCATTGCGAAGGAACTGGTACTGGAAGGATTACTTCCGGATCTGATAATGGTGATGGTGTTGATGTTTGAAAAGATGATGCCATTGATACTTGTGGTGTTGGTTCTGTTGCATATTTTAGCTTTCTACCGCGACTTGTTGACTGGCTGGTTGATGTTGGTTTTGATTTCGAGTTATCTGAATTCGCGTCAATAATATTTGCTGTCATTGTTGTTGATGAAAACTCATTATTTATATTATCTGATATAATATTCTCTTTTGATTTCGAAGCACTAGACAGTGACAAAACCTGATAAGTTCCTAAAAAAATTAAGTACTATTGTATTAATTAAGCGCTTACGGTAAAAAAAATGTTAGAAATAAGAATTTATAAGTCACACCTTCAGGTTGTCGAATGACAACGACACGAGTTTGCACATCAACAATATGAGTTTCTACATGTGCCCATAGTTGACGATTCGTAGAAAATACCTCTTGACAAAGCCCCCATTTACACTTATATACTGTTTCATTTCTTAGGAAAATGGTATTTTCTTGCATCTTTATTATTTGGCTGTGGCAAAGCAAAAAAGACTCGCAATTTTTTCTCAAGACCGAATTTATCAGAAGAAACAATATGACGTCATAGTTGATTCTTCGTTGCTAAAGGTGTGTAAGAAATCTGCACACATGACATAACGATAATATATATTTTTAATAGACGCGTAATCTAAAAACGCGCGCTTAAAATATAGATGTGATCTACACTAGCATTCCTAGAATTCGTGAAAAATTTACATTGCACGTGGTTTTTTAGATAAAAGCAGGGTCAACGAAAATTTTACTCTTTACTCCGTCCCCTTTAATCCTAACCGAAATGTTTTTGCGATTTGATTTAAAAGCTGATATGCTAGAAATAAAATTATGTTTGTGATGAATCGTTGCTTTTGGCTTTTGGCGCAGCGACAATTAATCCTGGCCAGAATTATACAGTGACGATCATAATAATGCAACACATGGATAAAAATTTTTAAATTTAGTTATTTTCAAAAAATAACTAATAAAATTTAAATTAAATTACTAATTATGGTAATTTAATAGTTAATTAAATATGTTTTATCTTTTTTAATATTTTTTTAGCTATCAATCATGAAATATATAGATAAGTTTTATAAAATATATATATTATATTATGTTTAATATTATAATGGAGTAGTTTCTCAGGATATATATGAAAAAATAAACATCATATTATATCAGAATAAGAAGTAGAAATTCTTATTATTCTTGAAAAAAATTATAATACTAGAAAAAATAATATAAAGATAAAATATTAATACTTTTATTATTATAAGATAATAAGAAAAATATATCTTAATTAATATCAATAGATCTGATCATTTACATATGATAAATGAAAAATTATTAATTTCATTCTCTTTTATAAATATTTAATAATTATTAAAGTTTGAAATCACTTTTATGAAACTGAAAATATGAATACTTTTTTACTTATTATTTATTGTATACTTAATAATTATAAATTAATATTAAGAATAAAATGTAAAAAGTTATATCTAAAAAAAAAAAATCAAAAATACAAACTTAATTTTATAAAAAAGTATAAAAATTAAATTAAAAAAGATTAAACAAGAATAATCTGATTAGATAAGTTAAAGTTTAATATTTTTAAGTTAAATAAGCATGAGTATTATTAAAAAAGAAAGAAGAAATCATTAAAAAGCTTATATATTAAATTTATTATTAAATTTAATAATAAAAAAATAATAATATTATTTATAATATTAATAATCTTTGTAAGATTAATAATAAAATGAATGATATATTATATAAGAAAATGAAAATTCTTTCAAAAGATCTTATAATTTTAGTTATATATTAAATAATATCATTTTTTTAATAAAATAATGATTTCAAGTAAAATTTATTAATAATAAAGTTGATATTCTTATATTATTTTTTGGAATCAATTTTGAGAAGAGAAGATTTGAGAGAAAAAATTCAGAATATCTACAATAATATAAATAATATTAATATTGAAATATATATCTGTCTCATCAAATTTATACTAAAAAGAATGATCAATATAATAAAGATCTGTGATGGCTATCAAGATGATAATCTAAATTGAAAATAGTTAATTTTTTAAAAAAGTTAGAATTTTGATGGTTATTTACCAATTTGTTCAAAAAGAACAAATATAATGCAACATCAAAAATTAAATATATTTGGCAGTTACAAAAAATTTAACTAAATAAAATTATTTTGAATTGGTAACATTTTAAACTATAGAATTGTATCATTCAATCATATTAATATTGATTGTAATACTTTTAATTGTAGGACGATAAATTTATTTGAAAATTTTCATTATTTGAATGTTGCATTATTTTTGCTCGCCATTGTATGTTTCAAATTCCTTCTCCATTAGGAAAAATACCAGAACTTTTGCTGCTTAATAACTTTGATCTAGAAATAATCTCAACGTTATATTATCGTCCTAACCAACCTTGAATTAAACTATTACCATGTAAATATATTTACTTACAACCAAGATGAAACTTTTATAAACATTATCTACGGTGGTAATTTATTCTTTTTACCATATTAGAAATATATAGGATATAAATTAAGATTTTCTATAATTATATGATTACATAGCAACAACTCATTACATCTCTTCAATCTCCTCTTCTGGATAATCACCAACTTTAACTTTGTTTGGACGAACGAATGCACCATGTTTAGGCCTAGCTTGGAAATAGGTTTCATCCTGAACACTTTGAAAAAAAAAAGAATTATAAAACAGTGGATACAAGACAAAATTACACAAGTAAAAATCATAGAAATAATTACTTACGTGCCGTTGTGCTTCCCTACTGGTTCGTCATATTCAACACCAACCCAATATCCGGGTTTAAATTTAGTTTCACCTAATGTTTAATTGATCGATGAATAAAAAGATGATCGATTACCCAATTGATGATAATTAAAGATAGACAACTCACCAACATATCTCACTATTCCGCGTTTCTTGAATCCGTCTTCACCAGATTCGCTAAAATCAACTTCACATCGATCACCTACTTTAATATTTTTTGCTTCTTCTTCAAATGTGAGAGATGCATCTGATGTGCTTGATTGTGAGTCCGCAAATCGACCGAGTTTATTACGTTGTTTAAAGGCCAATACAGAATCTAATATCAAAATAATCATCTTAGTATTTGGTAAAAAAGAGTGAATGTTAATCTTAAGTACAGTTTTATACCGGATCTTTTCGCGTATTCGTCGTCTGGTAGTTCGTATTTTTCGACAAGTGACAAATCGGTAAATTGATTTCTTGTTCCAGTTGGGCTTGAATCAATCACCTAAGAAGTCACTATTATTTAATTTTAATTAATCGATTAATCAATTTGTTTTCCTCTCAAAATTAAAGCTCGATTTACCTTTAAAGTCATATAATTATCTACTGGGAATGCGCCCAGCATGAAACCATCTCCTTCAACAGATGCAACAAAAATATCCCCATTGTATAATTGTAATTGTTGAGAAGTAGTAGAAATCCCAGTTATGGGTTCAAGCTTGGCCTTAAATATTCAAAAGTTGCAAGTAATTTTAGTATATTATCAAAATAGAACAAAAACTCAAGAAAAATATATTACTTTCAACTCTCCTATCGTGATGCCTTTATCGAACCGCCGTTCTGATGAAGCGTTCTCACTTTGTACAAATATCGTTACTATTGACATATTTATTTATTTTGGAAATTCTCGTGTAGAAATCTTTTGTTAATGTATGGGATGATCGGCATTATAATACGTATTTTGATGAAAACACATTTTGTTTATTTTAACAAAAACGAATTACAAATTTATAAGAGGTAATAATATCGCAATTCAAACTTTGAAGCATTTATGTTTATGCAACTGAATTAATTTATTCATGTTTTTAAATCGATTCTTGACAGCACCAGCATTTTATACATAACATTTGCCCTACACGAGCTGAATACCTAGATCAAAAATATAATTTAGGAGAAATTTGAAAAATTGAATTTTTTACCAAGTGAAAAATATCAATTGATGAAAAGATTGTTAAAGTAATTAATAGTGTGGAATCCTCTTAAAGGAGGATTTAAAGTAAAAAATATAAGTTTTAAATATCTTAAATTATAGATAACATTAACACTCCCCCCATTTTTGAACTGCTGACTATGAATTTTATGTCCGGCATGTTTAGTCACATGAGATCCCAAAATTGCAATTATGCTAGATGTTTGGATAAACTAACTTATTAGCTTTGCTGCAAGAGCAGCCAAAATTGCTGCTTTATGGGATCCACTCAATTTTTGATATGCTTGGTAAACGGAAACACCTGCAAGATAAAAATATTTTTGTTATTATATATGCATATTGATATATATCTTTCCATGTAGGTATCTATCGTACACGATACCTTTTGCATCTCTCACCGCGCCCAATTTACTTCCAGCGTAAGCTCCCAACATCAATCCCGGCACGTTGCCACAGATAAATCCTAATAATGCGCCTGATGCGGCACCAAGTGGTGTATAAAACCATGCAGGATTTTCCACTTCAGGTCGAAGCATTTCTTCAAAGACGTTACCGAATAGATAATCTGGATCTGGCTTATTTTGGAGCCATATGGAAGATCCTGATCTTTTTCTTTTCCTTGCTATATCTACACCCAAGAAGAAATTATTCAAGTTCAATGAGCGTATACATAATTGAATGTATTGATTTAGACTAGGGGGGTTTTTTTAATTACCATATTGTTCTCTACGTTTTGGGTCGCTGAGAACATAATAAGCATCAGCAACTCGTTGAAATTCTATTTTAGCCTCTTCGGATGTACATGGATAACTATCAGCTGACGATGAATTATCAACAAATCGGTCAGGATGTGTTTTGAGCGCTTTACGCTTATAAGCTTCCCTTATTTGTCTACATTTAATAAAGGCAGGTGTCAACTTCTTTGTATAATTCCTCCTCTTTCAACTACAAGACCCAAAAAAATTAAAAAAAAAAAACAGGTACACTTCTGTTGCTGTTACCGGAATTTCGAGAATTGCATAATAATCTGGAAATGAATCTGCCATTGAAGTAAGAGTGAGTGTAAGAATTTTAAGGATCGTGTTTTGAACCAAAAGGGATTTGTTTCTGAATGCCACATCATCACATTTTCATTTTATGATATCATACGTGTTACAAATATACGAATATACGAGCTAGCGATAGATCGTAGATGATTTTCATGAAATCAGTTTTATACTTACCATGTTCGAACAGTTCAAGCGCATTTCGTCTTCATTAAGCTTCAAAGATTTCGTCGTCACAAATGGGTAAGAGAAAATGTTAAATGCTTAATTTTTGCTCGAGGTAATTTTTCGTCTGGTAACGTTTATGTTTACGACATTACGAATTTTTCAGGCTTAACGAAGGAGAATTAAAAAATATTAGCAGACAAGGGTAAATTAGACAAGTCTTCCATTTCTCATAGCTTCAACCATAAATAAAGAATTTTTCTATTCGCGTTAAGGATACAGGCGGTTAAGACGGAATGGGAAAATATCCGCAACAAATCAGCAGAGATATTGATTCCAGCAAACTTAACGCCAAGGTTAGGTGCATTGTCACCTATAATCTCGGGTTCATCTATTCGTTCTAGGTATATTTCGATCACATTGATTGTTTTGAGGAAGATATTCGAGATTAATTATGGGATATTATTCTATAGTACAAAATCTCCCACGATACAAAGTTTAGATTTGGCAGCCACATCGGAGCTTGCGAAAAAGTATGATCTTAAATTTTTGATAACGTATAATTTAACGGGAGGATTCTTAGTTATCTAACCGTCAGATTCTTGTGCCGTCAGATATGAAGAAGATTGGAATTCGATCCGGGCAGAAGATGAGCGAAACTTTAAGAATGCAGTAGCGAGTATTTATTTTACTAGATTCAATTTTATGTATCTTTGATTTTTTATTAATTTCTTTCATTTTTTTTCTAGTTAGCAGATCGATTGATTACTCAAGCCCTTAAAACATGTGAAGACCATTTTCAGGCATGCGAACTTTTAAAGTCAGAAGCGAGTCAACTGCATAAATTCAAAGAAGAAGTTGATGATTTGACTATCTTTGCAGGTAAGAAAGATCCTTTTTTTATCTTAATAACTTTATGTGAACGCTAATCTAATACGCTTTTTTTTTTTACATACAAACTATTAATCACGATCCAATGTAGTGCAATTAAAAGGTAAACTGACCGAATTAGATCAGATGATTATTGACTTGGCAAAAGGAAATGAAGTGCAAGATTTCGAGGAATGGAAACAATCGGAACATATATTGCTAAATCAGTATATGGATAATCGAAAGTACTTTATTGTATATTTTTCGTGCCCTTTGTGATTGATCTTCAGATATTATTTATATCTCATTATTTACTATTGCTACATAAAATTTTTTGCCTTTTATATAGCGCAGAATTTGAAAAAAAGAAAGAATTCTATAAACAGCAGTACATGGAGTTCCTAAAAAATTTCCAGTTACAGAAAGCTCAAGCATACCAAGCAGATTTTGAAGCACAAATGGAAATTTATCGAAGACAAATGGAAAATCAACAATTAACGGCAACCTTCCCAGGTGAGTTTATTTAAAATAGATCCGACAATGTCATTGTTTTGTGCACTTATACGTATATTCTCATTTCTCCCCGCCTATTCTTTTGCTTTCATAGAATATCGGCAATCGGACGATGAAATATTATCTACTCTAGAAAATCTTGAGCTAGATACTTCAGATGACCGGGATGCTTTAGAAGAATTTCTGGGGAGTTTGAGCGATACCGAAAATGTACTATCATCATAATTATATTCCCCTTTTTATTATTATCTATGACTATAGATGTGCGTTTTATGTATACATCCTCTTTTTTAGGAGAAAGCTGAATCTTCGACGGTACTCGGTGAAAAGAATACGAACATTCATAATGATACTGAAAAAATTTTCATTTCACAAGAACAACACCAAGATTTATTATATGAGAATTTTGACTCTAATGGATTGATTGGACAAAAGAAAAAACTCAAGGAGCCAACATAATGAATGAACTATCTTTCGTAAAGAAAGGGATCACGGACATTAAGTAACACGACGTCAGCGAAAGATGATGATTTTCTGCGGTCATATATGTGTCAGATAAGCTAGTAAAAAATCTAAAAGACATTTTGAAAAACTAAAATTTTCAAATCCGCGAAGAGGTTTTCTTCTCCGTGCTTCTCATTCATTCTCTTAGTTTTTGGTTCGAAAATAGGGGTGTTTGATGTATATTATAAATATTCGATTCTTTACCTCAAATAGATTACCATTATTGTGCATTGCATTTCAGCCAACCAAAGAGATCATCATCATCATCATCGTCACAATCGAAAAAATGATATGCTAGTTACATTACGTATGCATGTCATGCCTCTTTTCTCATTGAAGATGACGACGATGATCAAATTATCAATATTTTAAATCAATTCAAGCCCATTGCTATTGTGTTATATAAATCTTGACAATTTATATTATTTAATATGTGGGATCAATCAATCAATCAACCATCGGACAACCGTTTTTTGACCTCTTTTTTTTCAGGCAATAACGATAATATAGTAACAAAAATGGTAAAAATAAAAAGAGAAACGAGGTTTATTTTTTTTGTTAGGTTTATTTTTATTTTTTTTTTTTTAATTTCTAATACTCTATTTTTTTGTGTACATCTTTCCTTTCACACATATAATCATCGTGCCTTTTCTACAAATAAATAACTCTGCACCCAGACTAAATAATAACAATAACATACCACTGCCATTTTTTTCTCTATTTTAGCATCATTACTTCGATTATTTCCAATAATACGACAATTCACATCCATACAGTTTTTTTTTGGTCGTTTGACAAAGAAACAAACGCGAAAGCAGTAGTTGTAGCAGCAGCAACAGCAGCAGCCGCAATAAAAGTACAAGTTACAGATACATATCCCAATCCCATCCCATCCTATCCTATTATCTATCAACCAGGCGTATTTATTTCTATTTCGTTTTTTATATATTACCTATTATTATTAGTAATATTTATTGCTACTATTGTTATTATTTATAACTCAAAAACTCACACCTCTCACACATAACTCGCCACTTCCAACACACACACCTGCCTGTGAACAATAAAAATAATAATAATAGTAGTAGTAGTAATAATAATAATAATAATAATAATAATAGAGTTTATTTGAACTTTGAAAACCCATCATAACATAATAAAATAAGTCAACCAACCAACCAACCAACTCGATATCCTCACTCATACTCTTTAACCAATTTCAAAAAATGTCGAATTCACCCTCCTCCGACTCCATTTCAGCATTGAACCCAAATGCAAAGACTACACAGGTCAAACTTGTACTCTTAGGTGGGTGAATTTGTGTTGTTGAAGGTGTGTTCTATCATTGGGGGTAATGGAAAACATCAATCAATCAAGTTTGGTTGTCCCGAAATTTTGTTCGGTTGATAACTGGACGATACTATAAAGACCTCCTTGGATATGCTCGTTCTTGACATACTAAAGTGTTCGGATTTTGTTCTTCTATTTTTTGTGCACGTGGTTTGTTACTTGAATAGGCGAGGCCGCTGTCGGTAAATCTAGTTTAGTGATGAGGTTTGTCAATGATGATTTTCAGGAAAATAAAGAACCAACTATCGGTGGTATGTCTCCTTTATCTTTTCTTCACTTGATTAAGGAATATATTTTATCCTTGGATTCTCACTATGTTATACTTTATCGATATGTTACTTGGTCTCCCCTTACAATAAAATCACCATGTCAATCGTATAGCCGCCTTCTTAACACAAAAAATTGCGTTGGAAGATAAAACAATTAAGTTTGAAATTTGGGATACGGCTGGTCAAGAGAGATTTCATTCTTTGGCCCCGATGTATTATCGTAATGCTCAAGCTGCTGTGGTGGTATACGATGTCACGAAAGCAGTAAGTATTTGATTTAATTAACAACTCTCATGAGCATTTTGACTAAACTCTTATCCTAATTGGTAATTTGCGAATCACTGAATATCGAACGAACCATTAGGCATCTCTTGATAAAGCTAAATCTTGGGTAAAAGAATTACAACGTCAAGCAAATCCAAATATTGTTATTGCTCTTGCCGGTAATAAAGTAGATCTCGTTCAACCAGCTGGGGAAGGGGAAGATGAATCAATGGAAAATGGGAGACAAGTTCCCACCGAAGAAGCAAAAGCGTACTCGAATGAGACTGGTTTGTTATTTTTCGAAACAAGTGCGAAAAAAGGGGATGGTGTTAGAGATATCTTTAAAGAAATTGGTATGAATGATGATTAATCATTTGGTTTCTTCGTTCTCAGCACATGCTTTATTAGTTAGACATCATCAAATTTTAAATATTCATTCTTTTTTTTTTCCTTATTAGCCAAAAAGATTCCTCTTGAACATCATATTTCCAATCGATCATCAACACGTCCAGGTCCTCACAGTCAAGCCAGGGAAATAAATCTAATGCAGCAAGGGAGTCCAACCAACAGAGACGGAGGCAGTTGCAATTGTTAACGCTTTTTTACCATCATCACCAGCGTCACCACCATCACACAACTTATGTATTTTTTATTCCTGTCGCACTTTATATATAGAGAGAGCGAACTTGCCATCATCAGCATAACATTTTAATATTATTCATCAAATTGAGGATAATATTTTTTATATATATATATATATTTTTTATATATATGTGTATATAGATATGATATAATATATAATGTGGATTATGCCCCCCATTTTTCCTAATACTTAAAATTTTTTCTTTCTTTACTACTATTACTACTACCACCAACACCACCAGCATCATCTTATATTTCAGTTACCTACTTTTTCATTCCTTTATACACTGGTGTGTTGGGATTTAATGGTTTTTTTTTTGTCATCTGGTAGCAAAGAGATCAAAGTATCTGAATTTTTTGGAGGTTTTTATTTTTTGTTTATTCTTTTTATATACATTATTATTAGTTATTTATTATTATTATTACTATTACTGTTTAAAGATGGTAGTAAACAAGAAGAATGAAATTTTTAGTTTGTGAATAGATAGATGAATAGCGGTTTTTTTATAATAATATTACTGTATTTACTGTATTATTTTTTATTGGAAAGAAACCGCATCTAATTTGATATCGATATGCACTATTTTTTCACTATAAACAATGTGACAATAAAAAAAATCCGTTAAACTATATCAATACTGTGAACTCATCCCCCAAATTTCCGAAATACGCCAAAAAATTGATCGACCAATCAAAGCGCTTTGTTTCTGTAAAAATTGGTAAGCCGAAGGGCTCCCAAATACTCGGCTTACCAAATTCTGTATATTACCAAGCTTCGCGCTAAGCCGAATATACATCATTTCGGTTTAGGAATGCTTCCATCTTATCGAGCTTGCCTTGTATCTCGAAATGTTGCCCACGAAACTATAGAAAAATTGTTCCCTGCGAAATTTTATACAGTTATAGTAAAGTTCATTATAACTAAACTCTCGCTTATAGTAAATTTGGGTTCAAAATCATCTAGAACAAAAAGCCTCTCTTTATGATGAACTTACTAATAAAAATCTCGATATAGTAATTGTTTCCTAATTGAACTATAAATGAAGTAGAAGAAGTCAGCTGTGCACTCCCAATCCTTTCCACGGTTAAGTGTCAAGTTGACAACAAAATCAGAATCACATGACCTGACACTTTTTTGCCCTTCATGATTAACTCCCGTGATAATAAATAACTCCCTTTAGATATAAAAAGCAAATATCGCATAACGCAATTGTTATTGTTAATTCTCCTTAACATATAATAAAAAGTTGTACTTTATATACTTTCGTAAGTAATTCCACAAAAATGGTATCCAGAATTTGGGGTTCGAGTCCTTTTGACGAGCTAGTAGGTAAATTTCGAATAAGTTTTTTGTTGTATTTTACGTGGGCCAACCAATTAATACCAATTTTTCGTATACGTAGAGAAAGCTACCTCAGAGTTACTTCCTAAAGGACAAGAAGATTTAACGTTGAATCTTGATATTTCTGATCAAATACGCAGTAAATCGGTTCCTGCTAAGGATGCTATGAAAGCTTTAAAAAGACGAATTGATCATATCAACCCCAATGTGCAACTCTTGGCTTTAAGTGTAAGTAAATGTACATACAAGCATTCACATTCCTTGTTATTCCTTATAAAGCACGTTAAGCTAAATCGATATGTTTTCATTTGTCTATAGTTGACTGATACCTGCGTTAAAAATGGCGGCCACCATTTTTTAATCGAGATTGCTTCCCGTGAATTCGTCGATAACCTTGTATCTATCCTTCGATCAAATGTAAGTTAAACGGATCTGAAGTTCATGATTGTGCCTTGATTCTATAATTCTTTACTTATTCAAGTTGGTTCTCGATTAATTACAGAGTTGCAATTCTGAGGTTCGATCAAAACTCTTGAGTCTAATTCAAACATGGGGTATTGCATTCGATGGAAAGCCTGAATTGAGCTATGTTTCTGATACGTATCGATTGTTAAAAGAAGGTGCGTCTCTGCTTATGACAAGATTATTTTTAATGGATCTATGAAGTACCCTTAATAATATTGTTACTATTGAATTCAGAGTTTGCGTTTCCGAAGCCCGAAAAAGCCGCGTTCTCAGTCATGATTGATACCGCAACAGTGAGTTCTGATTTCTTTGGCTCATTGCTCTTTCTACTTGATTTCTAATAATGTTTGATAGCCTCCAGAATGGACGGACAGTGACGTGTGCATTCGATGTCGAACACCATTTACTACATTTAACAGAAAGGTATTGAATTTAGGATACTTTCCCTATTGTATTTAATTACATGCAAATTTTAACAACTGGATTCATTTTAGCATCATTGTCGTAATTGTGGTCAAACTTTTTGTGGAGATTGTTCTTCAAAAACTATGGCATTGCCTCATATTGGTATGAATGAACCCGTGAGGGTATGCGATTCGTGTCATATTAAAAAACAATTAAAAAAAACAACAAGAAGGTAATTTTTAGCTATGACTTAATGTATTGATGAATCTTTCAATAACGAAAAATCCTTTTAGTGCAAGTATTGATCATACGGCGCTCAAAAATACGCACAATGCAACACATTCGCGCACCACTTCGTTGCCAAATGGTTCAAATGGTAGCAACAATACATTAAATTCACGTCGCGAAGATGATGACGACGAAGATTTCAAGAAAGCCATAGAACTTTCGTTAAAAGAGGCAGAATCGAGTCGTGGATTTGCATCTTTTCAACAAAAGACAACTCAAAAAGTCGTAGAACAACCAAAAAAACAGGTATGCAACAATGGTTTTGTATTATCATTCCTTGGGACTTTGAAATTTAACTCGATTAATACTTTAAAAAGGAACCAGTAAAGGAGGAAGAAGAGGATGCCGATTTAGCAGCTGCTATCGCAGCTTCATTACGAGAAATGAATCTGAATCAACAAAGATCAAACTACTCATCATCTTACGCAGGATATGACGTGCAGTCGTACCAGACACCAGCTGCCTCGATTTCTCATAATGAACTTTCTGCTATTGAGGCTGAAAATATATACAAATTTTCTGAAATAGTGGAACGAATTCAGCAAAGCGGAAGTGACTTAATGAGAGATCGTCAAGTGCAGGTATTGAGAATTGATCTAATTAGTTTTTAAATTAATGAATGAATCAAGATTAATTCATAATATATATTTTTTTCAATAGGAATTATATGAAAGAATTGGCGAGTTAAAACCAAAATTAACGAAAACTTTAAGTGAAACAATACAAAAACATCGTAAATAAATATTTAATAGCAATTTTCATTTATCTCTTATCATTCAAGTCATTAAAACCCTTCTTTTCCTTAAACAGAGGATCTTGTGGACATGCATGAAAAATTATCTCAAGTTGTCAAATTATATGATAGACTTTTGGAAGAGCGACTTTCCGGTGCATATACGCGTCGAGCTTCAACTACCTCATATTCGTTGCAACAACGGGTAAATCCTCCGGTTGGAACTCAGGGCATTGGATCATTTTATCCTACCATCAATACCATCGCACAAGCACCAAATATTTACCCTCAGATTAATTATCCGGCTGCTTCAGCACCTGTACAATCACCGACTTATTACCCTTCCCAACCTTTACTTGCTAATCAACAATCACATTCAAATCAAATTGAACAACAAACAATCTATTCACAACAATATACACCATCAAAACAAACGCCTCATGCTCAGTATTCATATGTGCAGCAAACACCTGCACCTTACGCGCCTGTTGCTGGAACAGCCAATAATGATACTATTGTTCCGACAAATCCCATCGAATACCATCAAGTTAATGTTAATCACCAACAACAATCGATTAATGGCATGGAATCGTATTCTATTTTGCAAGGTTATCAAGATGCAGGGTAAGGGACATTTTATGTTTTGTTTATAATTGAAAATCAATAATCGTTTTTACTAAATTAAATCGGAATTTCTAGATATCAGCAGCAGCCACAACCGATTGAAGACGTGGCACCATTGATTGAATTGTAGATTATAGAGGTTGTGTTTTGATGGTGCATGTAAATAGATAATTAACGATTATTTAGGATTAAATTGGATTATTAATTTTTACAAATTGTATTTATAAGATTATTTTTTCGTCTAGACATGAATTATTATTTTGGTAATTAAAATCTTTAAAAAAACACGTTACTATTTGTTCTTATCTTTATCGAAATTTGCGTCACGAATCTTATCACGTCGAATTTTCCGAAGAAATTGGCGACTAGTTGGATCGTTAGCCCATTCGTTTTGTTTCTTTTCATCCAGTATTTCCCATAACCATTCCGGATATTCATGATCAGGCAATGCAATTGGATCCGTGCCATCTTTCAAGTAATTAATACCCTGAAGTACTGTGCCTGCTGGTGCGGCAGATATTGACATTGTGGCTTGGATAGTGTTAGGAGGTGAGGTTGATTTTTTTGATGGAGATGAAGGGCTTTCTGTGAGTTTTATCCAACAAAAGAATAAGAAAATCAGGAAATCAGGTGGTGTGTTGAATTGATGATGTTAAATTTATTTTCGATCTACCTTTTTTTGCGTAGAGTGCATTACATGTTGAAAAAGATTGTATTATGCACGACAATAAATAAGTATTATGTTTATTTGTGTTTATAAGATGATTATTGAATGGTTTTGAAAATATTAATTTCCACATTATGTGGAATATTCAAAAAAGTCTAAATTTAAATCTCTTCTGATTAGTTCAACTTCTAAATCCGATCCTGATTTATAAATTGCGCGGATCGTTGCACAGAAAATATATTGTTGATCTGTCTATTGTGCAAAGAAAAATTCACAATGTGTCCATAATTTGTTTTGTTTAAAAAAAAACTAGTTTCGGATTTCCCGAAAGATCCCGGATGCACATGAACGATCCACGGTATAACTTTATCTTTCAATTGACCATGATCTTGGTGTGACCTCAAAATTGAGTCATATGTTTATTAAAAATTTATGACCAAAGTCATATGAATGAACATAAAATATAATGCACCAGTCACGTTGTTACTCGGTGCCGGGAATTCATCGAGTAACAGTTTTTGTTCCGGCAAGCCGGATCATCGGTCGGAAAGCCAGATAATGTCGGCTCCCCAAGACCAACAAATCGAATTGGAGATAACGTAAGATAATCTGTCCGGCCAGGAAAAAGAGTAAAACTTCCGACCTTCGACGGAGAGGAAGAAAGTGATCTGATACGGCGGCTTGAAGATTTCGAAACGAATAACGTAGGCAAAACGAGAAGAGTCGCACAATATTGGCTCCGGGAGACAACTACTCTCGGCCACAAGGCTTTCCAAAAGATGACGCATCGTTCTTAGCCCATTTCCACTGGAAATTCTGCACGGAAACCAAGACGATGCTCATTAGAAACGACTGGTCCCAATTAATATCCGGGGTTAAAGGAGATTCGGGCCTTTAGTGCGGGCTACTTGTCCGAATTCGGTGGACGAAGCCTTGGAAGTCGCTAAAGCGGTATCAACGGTGACTTATCGGAGTAAAGACTCGTTGTTATATATCAGTTAAACCCCCGAATACCTATTTTTGTTATATAGTCTTCTTCCAAGCCTTATGGGCGTTATTAGGTCCAGTAACTTTTATCAAGTAGTCCACTTAAGTGATCTTCGGAAATATAAAATGGACCTTCGATGGGATAGGTAGTCAGAGTCTTATGAGAATACATAAAAAAACGAAGGCGGCTACCCCGGAATAAGGTAAACTTCATAATATATATAAAAGAAAATTCGTCGGGTGTATAAGTGTGGGTAGTATATACCCATCTCAATGTAAACACTTTCATTTGTATATAGTATTATACCAGAACTAATTGATGGGAAGTATTTAGCTCTATTATCGTGTGTAAGTTATGCACACCTAGGCAGCCCACCTGACAATTCATAAGTCGGTATACAGTAACCCACTACTAAAGAAACGGAAAACGAAGTTTAACGAAAAAAATTCTAGCTCTTATACTTATATAAACTGGAGAAAGTCTAAAAAAAAGCCTAAAAAAATATATTAATGCTGCCATTCCAAAGAAACTAAGTGATTTACATGAATATTTTTAATTAGTAAAATTTAACTCCAAATACGAATATTTGTTATCGGAAATCATGATGAGATCTACATGTTTGGTTATTAGATCTTTAAAGTACTAGCAAAAAAAAAATGGTTGGATTATTTTTTACCGGCATTAATTTAGTGTTTTGGAAAAATATTCATGTTATTTAAAATGAGCATAAGAACCTTAATCGATGTTAGAAGGCACTAGAATTTTTTTTCGTAAAACTTTTCGTTTTTCCGTTTCTTTCAGTGAGCTACTCTATATATTATGAACTGACTGATGCTTATTTAATATTTTAAAAAATTGCTTGTTGTAGTTATTATAAGAAATTTCTAATTATCAATAAATCCAGCATTTTCAATCGAACCAGAAGAAAGATCAAGTTCATTTAAAAATAATCAGATTAATCCTCTGAATTTTGAAACTACATAAATTTATGTTTTTTACTTAATATTTATTATGTCCTTCGGAAGACCCCCAAATATTACCTCTTTTAGTGCAACACCACCAGAACGAGGTAGTTTTCCGTTAGACCATGAAGGTAATTCATAAATATATTTAATTTTTATAATTATAATATTAAAAATTTTATGTGGAAAGGTGAATGTAAAAAACTCGTGAAAGAGTATCTCCAATGTCTTAAGCAAAACAAGTCAGATAATGGCGCTTGTAGATATTTATCAAAAGCATATTTGGAATGTCGAATGGAAAAGTAAGAATATCATATATATATATATATATATATATATATATATGAAGCAAAATTCATTTTTCGAATTAATAACATTATTAATTGTATATAACAGGGGACTAATGGCAAAAGATGAGTTCAAGAATTTGGGGTTTCACGATAATGTCGAGCTCTCAGGGTCATCATCATCAAAAATGTCAACGTCAAATTAGAATATATATTTATTAATTAGAATGTATTAAACTCACTCAGCGAGTAATACAAAACCTAAATCTTCACCAAAATATCTTTCTTGCACATTAGGAAAAGTTTTTAATTCTTGTACTGCCCTTGGCCATATTCGATTAAATCGATTAGTTGGTAACCCATAATGATCAAAACAATTTTGATTTGCTTCAAAGAGAATCAATGGCCGCTTATGAACAATATTTTTGTCAAATAAATAGAAATTTAAAAATTAACAATAAAAAATGCACATTTAATTAAAGAACTTACGCCTTCTTTTGAATTCTGATTTAAACATCCATACAAGTATCTCGCCATTTGTCTCACGTATTCTTGATCTTCATTTTTCTCTCTTCGTCTCCTTGTGTAATATGTCCGCGCCCACTTTGCCAAATAATAAAAGAACATTATTATTACAACACATCCCACCAAAATAAACAATGGAAGTAAAAAGTATCTCCGAAGAAAAACCACTGCTGAATTGTATATTATGCAGTAAAGTGGCGGTTTAGGATGTTTTGACTTGAGATACATTTGATTTCTATTTGAAATTTATTTAAAATTCAATAGTTAAAAAGCTAAGGAATAAATAAATAAATAAAATTATAAGCTCTAAATATAATACCTCTCTTCAAAAAAATCCACCCCATCGCGAGTTTTGTTCAATATTTCTATTGCTTTTTGCCAGTCACTTTCTTGAAATCTCATTCTTTTTTCTAATAAAATTTTTAAAATGTTCAAGTTAAATTTGTTTTCGCCGGTCACTCCTTTACATTCTAATTTTCCGGCCTCGGATGAAAGAGTATTGTCTATAATATCAACAATCTCCCGAACTCGCTGAGGTTGTTGTTTATCGTGTACACATCTTTGCGAAGTAGGATATAAACTTTGAAGAAGAGGGTGCGACATATCAATCTTATAACCATAATCACATCCAATCAACTTTCCGTTGCTACAAATCGCGTGAGGCGGACAATTTGTACAAGAAACACCAATATAATATGAGAAATCTAATTGACAAAAGAAAAAATTAGAGTTTTGAAAATGTAAGTAATTTACTTTTGTGAATTTTACCTTCGCTTTTGTATTCTCCGTTATTACAGAAACCAAGCTTAATATTTGGCCACCAATATAATGTTATGTACAAGACAAACAGCAAGAGGTATATGAGCAGCCATGAACTTTCTCTTCTCCAGAAAGGGATGGAGTAGGGTTCTTTTTCATTAGAACGCTTTACACCTATTTTCTTTCGCGAGCTTCTTGGTGGTTGATACGCGATAAATGAGGATGGTGTACCAGTGTATGTAATTTTCCTTTTATTACTATGTAATATTGGGTCTAACGAGGGATAAAGGCTTTCTGCTTTCTCAAATTTTCTAAGATTTCGTGACGAAGACATTGTGGAAACAGAACTAACGAATTTTTGAACAAAACTGGTTTCATTCCTTTATTTTGGGTTTCAAAGATCAACAAGAAATTTTCGATAAAGGACGTGATTTGCAAAACGATTTGTTAATCGCATTTTTTGGTAATTCGATTTTATAAAACTATGATCTCATACATCGAGATGAACATTTATACCGGGAACCTGTATCACTAAACATGATTTGACTTCCTGAAAATTGTGGTCGGCGATCGACACCGAATTCTTCGTCACGCGAAATATCTAGCAAGAAAACGATCACGATCAAGTACTCCACAAACCAACAACTGGAACAAGATGTCAAGAATTGTGACAGGCATTTTTCTCATAAGAAGCAAGAGAAATCATCCATGAATTGGAAGGTAAATATTTTCCAAAAAATAATAAGGAACGGTTCGAATCATTCTGCGAAACTGGATAGGAACCGAGCTGAAAGAACCGTTCTCCATCCCTAATTATGCCCTTGTAATGTTTATTGACTTAAAAATCGTAATTTTTGCCGTAACTGCGTAATTGATGCATTATTCGTAATTGGTGTAAAAGTTCGCAATTAATTTTTGCACAAAATAATGAAATCCGTACGTAATAATGAGTAATTTCACGTACGGGCTCAATATCTCGAGAAGGTTAAGAAAGAAGTTGATATTTTATTATTCCAGCACTTACTTGAATACAATAAAGACATTTTCAAATCTCATGCAAAAATTAGACAATGAAAAACGAAATTTACGTTATGAGGTCGAAGAGAAAAGGATAGAATTGCAAGAAGCAGAAAGAAAGCTTGCATCTTTAAAATCACGCTTTAGTAATCAGGTTAATAGATAAGCATTGTAGGAAACTTGAGATGTTTTTTATACCTCTGATATTTACAATTTATTCATCCAATGTCAAAATTTTATCCCAACCAACTCGTATTCTGTGTGGATGTTCGCGGGGTACAGTTAAATCAAAAACAATGAATCTTTGCTCACATAAATGCTTGTCAATAATTTTAATCACACTACGCCAATCATTAGCATATAGTCGTAGAATTCTGTTTAACTCGTCCGAGGTGCATGATCCGTTATTAAACAAGCAGACATGTGAGATTTTTTCGTATTATCTTTGGGCAGTCAAAGTAACTCTGAGAAACGTATATCGAACTGATGTTATAATGGCGTCCTTCGATAAAATAAGGAACAATTCTTTCTTCGGATCAGCGCATACATCTTCAAATATAGTCGCTGTATCTCTGCCCGAAATGAAAATATGATTTTGCAATTATCTGATAGGCTGATCTGAGACACATGCAATTTTGTCGATCATGTATCACGTCTCAAATGTTCTAATATGGGCTCGTCTAAAGCGGGGGCAAATCACGTGAATAAATAATGATTGGTTAGAATATACGAACGATGATTAGCCAGAAAATGTATAGTATAATAATATAATTAAATAATTCTTACTATTAAAAGAAAGTAATAATGTTTAATATTAATATAAGATAAGAATTTTTACATAAATTTAAGAGTTTTATTTAGAAATATATATAATATAATAATTTTTTAATATAATATATCAATTTTTAAAACTTATTTAAGACTTGATAATAATAAAAGAAAGTATTATTATAATCTGTATTTTTATTATTAACTAAATATTAATAATTTTAATTTTTTTCTTTCATTTAATCAAATTATAAGATAATCAGATTCAAAAAGACTTTTAACATAGAGATAAAAACTATTATCCTCTTAATATCATCTATTTTTTTAATATTTTAGTATCTATTACATATTCTTTCAGTTAATTTAATTATAACAAGTCTTCAATCTTTAGTTTTTTTTGTTATTCTATTTATACATATTTAATAAATAGCTCATAACTTTCATAAATTTCAAACCTGTTTTCTTTAAATATTTTCTAAAATATATTAATAATTAATAATTTATTATTATATATATATTTATAAAAAATATATTTACATAATAATAAATATTAATTATGAAATATATAATAATAATTATAAGTTAAACTAAATTTTTATATTTTAATTAAATTATAAGAAGAATAAAAAAATAATTATAGTTTAATATAGTAATAGTTAAGAAAGTAATTTTTAAAATAAATATCTTATTTTTTATTAATAACTAAAAAAATTTCAAGAAAATTTTTGAATAAAAAATATTATTAGAAGTAACTAAATATTATATAAATAAGAATAACTATACTTTTTTAACTTATTTGATATAATATTATACTAATAAATTATAGTAAGATTATATAGATCCTTTACTAATTCTTAAAAAATTATAAAAAGAGCAATATCTTTTGAAAGAAAATATGAAGATTAATTTATTCAAAATTATTAAATTTAAAATTATATTTTACTATTTTTCAAGTTATATTTATCTTTTTATACTAAGTATCTTTATCTAATCTATAATAGTTTTGATCTTTAGCTAAAATTATTATAATATTACTAAATTACTCTTTATTATAAAAACTTTTAGATATTCTTAAAATTTTATTACTTTTTAAATAAACTGTATTATAAATTTTTATATAAAAGTCTTCATTTCCAGACTCTTGTAATAATATATCAAAAAATATATTTAATATAATAATTATATATAATAATTTTTTAATAAAGTTTGAATATAATAGACTCTTTAAATTCTTTAATAAAATTATTTTTATTTTGATAATATCCAAAGATAATTTTTATAATATCTTATTAAATTTTATAGTTTTATAATAAATTATCTTATTTATTATTAAAACTAATTTTTTATACTTTATCTATAAGTATAATTTAGAATTTATAATAAATTAATTATAATTAATATATTTGACTTACTATATTTACTATTTATTATACTATATTTTTTCTATTTAATAATTAATATAAATTTTTTATATATGACTTATAAAGTATTTTATATATTTTTATTAAGAAACTATTTAAGATTTTATATTTATAAATTATTAGAATTACATAATAATACCAATTATATAATTTAAAAAAATTATATTTTATAATAAATAATAATAAAAAGATCCTCTTAAATTCAGTTGATCAGTTAATAATAAGAATCTATATTCATTTTCTATTATTAATTATCTAATTTTTTAAAGTTTAATTAATTTTATTTTATTTTATCTTAAATTCTTTTAAATTATTTTTAGTAAAAAATTCTTATCTATTTATCATATATATTTTATTAAACTTTATATAAAGTATGCAGAGTTTATTATAAATTATATTATTTCATATATTAAAAATATTATCTAATATAAAAAGAATAATTTTTATAATATATTAATAATCTATAACTATTATTACTTTTATTTAACCTAATTTATTAAATAATTTTAATTTAAGAAAATAAAAAATTTGACAGAAATAACTATTAAAATTATTTAATAATTATATTTCTTTAACTTTCTTCAAAATATCTTAGATAAAGTTTAATTAGTATTTAAAAAGATTAAGATTAATATAATATATATAATTAGATATATAAGCTTTATAAATATTTAAGTTTTTATAATAATTTAATAATTTTAATTTAATTATAACTCAAAATTATTTAAAAATAATTACAAAAGAATTAATATTCAAATATTTATGAGAATTTTTAGAATATATTTTCAATATTATATATAAAAAAATTCTTTTCTTGATTTTTATTTATAATTTATTATATATTTTTTTAATATTTTAAAATTTGTATTCTCTAATATAAGATTTATATTATTAAAATTATCTTACAGAATTATGCAGATATAATATAATATTTTATATTTTACTATTTTATATATTATAATTAAAGATGATATTATAATTTAATTATAATTCTTTGATTAGTTATTATAATTAATCATAATTCTCTAATTATTATAAATTATAATTAATTAAGATAATATTTCTAATTATGATTATATTATCAGCTTTAAGCATATTTACAAGAAAGACTAAAATATATGTACAAAAATTACTGATCATCTCTATATTTTAAAATATAATTTATTAGATTTTTCTGCTAGAGAATTAAGTATAATTTTAAATTATTTATGATATACTTTATATTATAAGTTTTAAAAATCTTCTGTGATTTTTATTATTAAGTCTTGAACTTTAAATAAAAAATTCAAAAGAACTTTAGTTTCTGATTTATTTTAAAATCAATTTAAGAAGTTATTAAATATTAAAAATATAGGATATTCTAATATCTTGCTAAAACTATTAAAGATAATGATATCTGAATATAAAATAATTAATAATAAATAATATAATAAAGAAAATATTTTTTTATATTATAATAATTAAAAATTTATTATTATCTTCTTTTTTAGAATATTCTATTAATTAAAATTATCTATTATTTCTAATTATTATAAAAGTATTTAAATAGCTTAAAAAATTAAATAGTAATAAAGAGTAAAATTAATATTAAAAAAAGTTTTAATAATCTTTTTTAAAGTTAATTAAAGATAATTTTATTTAATTAAGATAATTTTTTTTATTTTTTATAAATTTTGATAATAATAATTTTTCAAATTACTATACTTAAAGAATTTAATTATTTTATTTCTGATTTTATTTAAAATATTATTCTCTATTATTAATTTTATAAAGTCATGATAAATATTATTAAACTATTATACTAAGCATTTCAGTTCAATTTTTTTTTAATAATCTTTAAAATATTATTCAAAATTATATTTTAAAGATCTTTAAAATTAAAACTAGTATGAATTAAAAATAACTTTTCAATTATTATATTGTAATAATAAATAAAATATCATCTAGTTATAACTTATAAAATTTTGGAATTGTAACATATTGCAATAGGTAATAAATAAGTATCATATACTTGCTACACTATCTCTAGTATCAATAGTAATAATTTTTTAAAACTTTCTTCTAAAATCTTTTCAGTAATCTTCACAAATAATATTTTTTTTAGCAATCTTTATATATAATTTTATTT